AATACAGGCAGCCCCACTTACACATCAGATTAGTTTCCAGGCTTCTGCTGTAAAGTGAAGATCACCATAAAGGGAAACATAGCTGTTTTTCACTTTAAGATACATATGAAAGCCTGATATGTTTACACTGTCATAGATTAACCCTTAAACGGTCCAGATGTGTATATATGTGTATATATATGTATATATACACGTTCACTCGCGTAGCGCCCCCAAATGTATATACAGTGGACCCTCGACTAACGCTATTAATCCGTTCCTGAGAGCTCATCGTTAGTCAAAATAATCATTAGTCAAGTTAATTTTCCCCATAAGAAATAATGGAAATCAAATTAATCCGTGCAAGACACCCAAAAGTATTGAAAATTTTTTTTTTAACACATGAAATATTAATTTTAATACACACAAACTGAAGAAGACATGCACAGTTACATGACACTTACCTTTATTGAAGATCTGGTGATGATTGATGGGATGGGAAGAGGGGAGTGTGTTGATGGTCTTAGTGTTTAGAAGGGGAATCCCCTTCCATTAGGACTTGAGGTGGCAGGTCCTTTTTCGGGGTTACTTCCCTTCTTTTAATGCCACTAGGACCAGCTTGAGAGTCACTGGACCTCTGTTGCACAACATATCTGCCCATAGAGGCCTGTACCTCCCGTTCCTTTATGACATTCCTAACGTGTTTCACAACATTGTCAGTGTCACCATTAAACACTTGTTCAGGTTTCAGTCCTTCACTGTCTATGTACTCCTTGAATTCCTGCACATATTTTTCAGCTGCTTTTTGGTCCAAACTGGCAGCCTCACCATGCCTTATCACACTATGTATGCCACTACGATTCTTAAATCTCTCAAACCAACCTTTGCTGGCCTTAAATTCACTCACATCACCACTAGTTGCTGGCATTTTTCTAATTAAATCGTCATGCAACTTCCTAGCCTTTTCACATATGATCGCTTGAGAGATGCTATCTCCTGCTATCTGTTTTTCGTTTATCCATACTAATAACAGTCTCTCAACATCTTCTATCACTTGCGATCTCAGTTTCGAAAACATAGTTGCACCTTTGGCAAGAACAGCTTCCTTGATTGCCGTTTTCTTGGCCACAATAGTAGCGATGGTTGATTGGGGTTTTGTGTACAGCCTGGCCAGCTCGGAGACATGCACTCCACTTTCATACTTAGCAGTGATCTCTTTCTTCATATTCATCCTAATTCTCACCCTTTTTGCTGTAGGGTTGGCACTAGAAGCTTTCTTGCGGCCCATGGTGACTTATTTTGCAGGTGCAATCACTAAAAAGGCTGTGATAATATGAAATGTTCCGATTGTATGCTTGGAAGCGACCGCAGTGGCTGGCTGGCTTGTAAACACTGGCCAGAAGTGGACGCGTCTCAGACAGAAGGAATAGTGTTGGTCGAGTTTTTTAGCGCTAATCGAGGCAAAATTTTTGCGGTAAAATGTATCGCTAGTCAGATTTATCGTTAATCGATGCCATTGCTGGTCGAGGGTCCACTGTATATGTTTTATTTTTCCTGCCTCCAAATTTGGCACGATTGCATGAGATGCCTGGTCAGCATAGAATTGGTCTTAACACTCAGTGTGTGCAGTACTAAAAAAATCTGGGACCACTTAGTACCTTGTGGGAGCACCAGTTAAATTGAGCACCAGCTAGAGCAAACAGCGCGGCAAACATCAAGGATTCACTGATGTAATGTCATATTAACACTCCTCTTTTAAGTGGAAAGTGATGTTAACCCCAAGTTTAGGGTCTGTCGATCTCTGTCTATCTTTGTCTACCTCTGTCTATCTGTTTCTATTATTATTATTACGTATTATCCTCCTCCTCCTCCTCTCCCTCCTCTCCCTCCCTCCCTCCCCTCCCTCCCTCCCTCCCTCCTCTTCCTCCCTCCCTCCCTCCCTCCCTCCTCTTCCTCCCTCCCTCCTCTTCCCTCCTCCTCTTCCTCCCTCCTCTTCCTCCTCTACCTCTCTCCTCCTCCCTCCTCCTCCTCCTTCCTCCTCACTCCTCCCTCCTCCTCTCCTCCTCCTCCTTCCTCCTCCTCCTTCCTCCTCCTTCCTTCCTCCTCCTTCCTTCCTCCTCCTTCCTCCTCCTCCTTCCTTCCTCTCCTTCCTCCTCCCCTTCCTTCCTCCTCCTTCCCCCTCCTTCCTCCTCCCTCCCTCCTCCCTCCTCCCCTCCCTCCTCCTCCCTCCTCCTCCCTCCCTCCTCCTCCCTCTCTCCTCTCTCCCCCCTCCTCCCTCCTCCTCCTCCTCCTCCTCCTCCTCCCTCTCCTCCTCCCTCCTCCTCCCCTCCTCCTCCTCCTCCCTCCTCCTCCCTCCTCCTCCTCCTCCTCCTCCTCCCTCCTCCTCCCCCTCCTCCTCCCTCCTCCTCCTCCTCCTCCCTCCTCTCCTCCTCCTCCTCCTCCCTCCTCCTCCTCCCTCCTCCTCTCCTCTCCTCCCTCCTCCTCCTCCCTTCCTCCTCCTCTCCTCCTCATCCTCTCCTCCTCTCCTCTCCTTCCTCCTCCTCCCTCCTCCTCCTCCCTCCTCCCCATATACTTCCACATATCCAAAACATTGCTGGGACCTATAAATACTTTGCTTATATTCCAAGACAATAGTAAATGACCAAGGCAGGTGTAAATGTCCACCTGTCAATGTCTTTGTGACAATTTCAGTACCTAATACTAGTGTCAGAACAAAGATTGGTTATAAAATGACAAGAACTACTACAAATTGTAATTATCAGAACATAAAAATTACATAAAACAATGTGAAAAATAAAGATATATAGGCAACACTTCTGCAAGCGGCAGGACTGGATGTTGCTGTCACATGAGCATCCAGTGCCAACTTCTCGGCCTCATATCTCGATAAGTACTGACCCTAAAATTTTTTTTTTATTCTATAACACTTAGAAAAAGGTGCTCTCTTTTTCAAAATTCGGGGTGCTGAGCAAGTGAACATATACAGTGGTCCCTCGCTTTTCGTAGTTCTTGGCAGTTGTAAATTTCATCAATCATAGGGGTATTTTCGTATAAACATGGACTCGCTTTTCATAGGTTGACTCGCGAATAGTAGTTCGTCCGGGACGCATATGCACGGTGTGAACTGGGGCGGCCTCCCTACCCAGCCAGTCTGGCATTGTTTACCAGTGAGTGTAGGTCCCCTCAAGTGCTCCTATGAAATATTTCATAATATTCCACTCATTTTAGTGCTTGCAAGTACTAAATAAGCTACCATGGCTCGAAAGAAAGCTAGTGCCAAGCCTGTGGTAAAGAAGGTGAGAAGTATGTACAGTGATAAAGTCTTGGGCCATTTTAGGGAAGTGTTAAAGAGACGCCAGAAACAGAGCTCTCTCCACAGTTACTTTGCGAGATAGGACTAGAGTGACTCTCAAGGTGGTCCTAGTGGCATTAAGAAACAGAGAAGAGAAGCAATTGGTACCTGAGGTGTTGCTGAAAGGGGATTCCCCTTCCAAACTGTAAACAATCCAATCTCTCTCCTCCTCCAGTCTCCCATACAATAAAGGTAAGTGTTATGCTGTTAATGTTTCATTCATCATTTCCCATTGTATTGTTTATGTACTACATGTATATTTCATGTAAAAAATTTTTTTGTTTTAATACTTCTGGGTGTCAGGAACAAATTAATTGTATTTACATTATTTCTTATGGGGAAAATTGATTCGCAAATCGTAAATTTCGTTTATAGTAGCTCCTCCAGGAACGGATTAATTACGAAAAACGAGGGACCACTGTATATACATTTGGACCGTTTAAGTGAGCAATAGAGCTAGGCTTGAAAAATGCATAAACAGTACACACATTGCTTACCTTAAAATATTTTAGTCCTTAACTTATAGTGAGTGGTGAATATATTTATCATAGGAAGTCTGAATAAATGAAGAATGGGTACATATGAAAAGTCTTGCATTAGTGCACCACAAAAAGAGAAGTGCTGTAAAGCGGGGGCCGCCTGTATAAGGTATGAGTAACTTTATTATGTGACGAATTACATTTTTTTTTATGGCATCAGGAAAGCAATCTTTTCTCACCACCACCACTGCCACCTCCTCCTCCCCCATCATCATCACCACCACCATCACCTCCACCATCACCACCTCCATCACCTCCACCATCACCACCACCATCACCACCACCACCATCACCACCACCGCCGCCACCAACATCACCACCACCATCACTGCCTCCACCACCACCATGAAATTGCATATCATGAATTCATGTAAATCTCAGATTTTTTTGGAATGTAGCCCATGCTAAATGTGAGATTCTGCAGTACTGTGTAATATTTTTTAAGCTTATTTTTTGGAGCAATTTCCACTCAAATTTTTTTTAACATGGTGGCAGTCTCCCACTGAGGTAGGTTGACCCAAAAAAAAGAAACACACTCATCATTTACTCCATCACTGTCTTCCCTGAGAGGCACAGTTCAGATGCTCTTCCACACTGCAAATATCCCCATTCCTCCCTCAGAGTGCAGGCACTGTACTTCCCACCTTTGGAACTCTCATCATGTCTACATTCAATTAAAAATAATATATTTATACTGACCTTTGTATGTAAATTGTGAAATGAAAGTGGAGTCTAAAAATTGTATATATATTGCAGTAATTTTGTACTAGGCTAGTATTAGCATTATATTAATATTTTTTTTTAAATTTTAAGGGTTGGGTTGTCTGTGTTCTTTTCATATATTAGTTTATGATCAAGTGCCTTTTAGGAGGGGTGGCTTGATGCTAGTGAATGGATCTTGATACAAGGAATTGAAGCTGCTACATTCCCCATCCTTGGATCTAACCTATTATCTTCTGTTCCCCACATGCTGTGTGACCCCTATAAGTTTAGTGCTTCCCCATGAATATGATAATAGATTATTAGATAATTATAACTGTGATATCCTTTCCTTATGTTTTTGGATTTGTCTGATATTTCTCCTAGGGCTATATGTTTGACTTTTAAAGTATGTATTTTACTCCTAACAGAAAAGGAGAGATTTATGGCATCAGAAAAAGATATTGCCATCATCTCTGAGGCTGCCAGTTCAGGTATCTCACTCCAAAGTGATCGGAGAGTTGTCAACCAGAGAAGAAGAGTACACATAACCCTTGAATTACCTTGGTCTGCCGACAGAGCTATACAACAGTTTGGTTAGTTTAAAATTATATATAAAATTCTGGCATGTCTGGGTTTTATAACATTTCAGGTCAGGCTGTGAGTGTTTAATACTCTTAAACTGGTCACAGGTATGTGTAACAGGCAGTGTAGTATTGACTCCATAAGTTGAGCTATTACAACTAATCAGTGTTTTTTTATTAGTATTTTTCCTCATTGTAAATATTGCTTCAGATTGTCAAACACAAGGTGACTTGTGTGAAGAGAGATTTCTGTAGGAAACTTATTTACTGATATGGGATAATATTAAACATCCAGTTTACAATACAGCTTCTCCTCACTTACCAACGCACTCGTTTACCAACGACTTAGACTTAGGACGGGCTCTCTGACCAGTATGCATACCTAAATAATGTATTTTAGAGTAGATTTCCTCTATTTTGTTTATTACAATATACAGTACACTACTGTATAAACATTATACAGTAGTTATAAATCGTGTAAAGGTGACACAAACCCACCACCATTATAGTAAGCTCCTTACTTTGCAACGAATTCATTTACTGACATGGTCTCAGGAACGGAACTCTGTCGTTAAGTGATAAGACATCAATCACAACAAAATAATTATAAAACATGGTGTAATTAGTTATAATACAGAATGAAATCGTAGAGTGAAACGGAGTTACTCAAGTGAATTTTCTAAAAGCAGAAATTACTGAAAGAATAAGTTTATACAATATTAAAAAATGCATATTAAAATGGTAGAATGGAGGAATTATTTATTAGGAGGATTATATTGAGGAGAAAATAAATGATTACAAACCTGATGTATGCTAGGATTTTTATCAATCTTCTGATATATAATATTAAACTTGACCAAGTTTTGAACACCTATCTTTTTCAGGTCGAACACACAGAAGTAACCAGGTGAATGCTCCAGAATATGTGTTTCTTATTTCTGAACTCGCAGGGGAACGACGGTTTGCTTCCACTGTGGCCAAGAGATTAGAAAGTCTGGTAAGATAAGAATTCTACTACTATTGTTTTGTACAAACTGCTTTGAATTTCATAAAAAAATATTAGATCATGTAAACCACCTTTCCATCTCTAATTTTATTTGAGACATGATTCACATGTAATGATGACCCACCAAACTGCCAGATCCTAACCTATCTTTTGAAGTTGCTTCAGTCAGTTCCTGTTACACACCCTCTTTGATCAATGCTCATTTCACACCTGTACAGTCCTTCGATATCCCCAACAGTTCATCATCTGTAGATAGATTTTATTGTTTTCTTTTGTAAGAAGTCCTCTTAAAATGTAACTAAATTATAGCCATGTCATCCTAATTTATATTTAATTAAAATGATTAATGAAGTATGATTTGCATTTATTTTTGTTGGATATTAATTAATGAATTTGATTTTCAAAGACATGCAATTTACATCCATTAGCACAGCACTACTATCAATCTTCAGTACACTAGAGGTAAATTTTGTTTTAGTGTTTTCTTCCCTGATACACAGTATTTGAGGCAGTTTATCGTATAATGACCATCACTCGCAACAACCTTACAGGGGGCTCTAACTCATGGTGACAGAAGAGCAACAGAATCCAGAGATCTCTCATCATTTAATATTGACAACAAGTATGGACGTATGGCGCTGGAGTCAACAATGAAAACGATGATGGGTTACGAACATCCTATAGTTCCTCCCCCAGAAGATTATAAGGGAGATTTCTTCTCTGACATTCAAAATGCCTTGGTTGGAGTAGGATTGATTCTTAAAGAAGATAATATACATCAGCTGGATAAAGACTATAACAACATGAGCAAATTCCTAAATAGGTATGTATGCATTATGCATGTTTTCAGTATGCCAAATGTGGTCTGAATGAATTGGAAGAATTGGTCATAAATGCACCAAGATTGTAATGTATAATACAAGTTGCAAGAACCAAGGTTTAAGGCACCCTTGGATGGGAAGCCAAGTAGTAGCATCATTGAGTATTACAGGAGTTGGAGATAAGAGACAGTTTGCCAAATACAGTGGACCCTCGACTAATGCTATTAATCCGTTCCTGAGAGCTCATCGTTAGTCAAAATTATCGTTACTCAAGTTAATTTTCCCCATAAGAAATAATGGAAATCAAATTAATCCGTGTAGGACATCCCAAAGTATGAAAAAAAAATTGTTTTTACCACATGAAATATTAATTTTAATACACACAAACTGAAGAAGACATGCACAGTTACATGACACTTACCTTTATTGAAGATCTGGTGATGATTGATGGGATGGGAGGAGGGGAGAGAGAGTGTTAGTGTTTAGAAGGGGAATCCCTTTCCATTAGGACTTGAGGTGGCAAGTCCTTTTCCGGGGTTACTTCCCTTCCCTTTAAATCTCTCAAACCAACCTTTGCTGGCATTAAATTCACTCACATCACCACTAGTTGCTGGCATTTTTTTAATTAAATCGTCATACAACTTCCTAGCCTTTTCACATATGATCGCTTGAGAGATGCTATCTCCTGCTATCTGTTTTTCGTTTATCCACACCAGTAACAGTCTCTCAACATCTTCGAGTACTTGCGATCTCAGTTTCGAAAACATAGTTGCACCTTTGACAAGAACAGCTTCCTTGATTGCCGTTTTCTTGGCCACAATAGTAGCGATGGTTGATTGGGGTTTTGTGTACAACCTGGCCAGCTCGGAGACACGCACTCCACTTTCATACTTAGCAATGATCTCTTTCTTCATTTTTTTTTTTTCAGCAAGTTGGCCGTCTCCCACCGAGGCAGGGTGACCCAAAAAAGAAAGAAAATCCCCAAAAAGAAAATGCTTTCATCATCATTCAACACTTTCACCACACTCACACATAATCACTGTTTTTGCAGAGGTGCTCAGAATGCAACAGTTTAGAAGCATATACGTATAAAGATACACAACATATCCCTCCAAACTGCCAATATCCCAAACTCCTCCTTTAAAGTGCAGGCATTGTACTTCCCATTTCCAGGACTCAAATCCAACTATATGAAAATAACCGGTTTCCCTGAATCCCTTCACTAAATATTACCCTGCTCACACTCCAACAGATCGTCAGGTCCCAAGTACCATTCGTCCCCATTCACTCCTATCTAACACGCTCACGCACGCTTGCTGGAAGTCCAAGCCCCTTGCCCACAAAACCTATTTTATCCCCTCTCTCCAACCCTTTCGAGGACGACCCCTGCCTCGCCTTCCTTCCCCTATAGATTTATATGCTTTCCATGTCATTCTACTTTGATCCATTCTCTCTAAATGACCAAACCACCTCAACAACCCCTCTTCTGCCCTCTGACTAATACTTTTATTAACTCCACACCTTTTCCTAATTTCCACACTCCGAATTTTCTGCATAATATTTACACCACACATTGCCCTTAGACAGGACATCTCCACTGCCTTCAACTGTCTCCTCACTGCTGCATTTACCACCCAAGCTTCACACCCATATAAGAGTGTTGGTACTACTATACTTTCATACATTCCCTTCTTTGCCTCCATAGATAACGTTTTTTGACTCCACATATACCACAATGCACCACTCATCTTTTTTCCCTCATCAATTCTATGATTAACCTCATCCTTCATAAATCCATCCGCCGACACGTCAACTCCCAAGTATCTGAAAACATTTACTTCTTCCATACTCCTCCTCCCCAATTTGTTATCCAATTTTTCTTTATCTAAATCATTTGATACCCTCATCACCTTACTCTTTTCTATGTTCACTTTCAACTTTCTACCTTTACACACATTACCAAACTCATCCACTAATCTTTGCAATTTTTCTTTAGAATCTCCCATAAGCACAGTATCATCAGCAAAAAGTAACTGTGTTAATTCCCATTTTGAATTTGATTCCCCATAATTTAATCCCACCCCTCTCCCGAACACCCTAGCATTTACTTCTTTTACAACCCCATCTATAAATATATTAAACAACCATGGTGACATTACACATCCCTGTCTAAGACCTACTTTTACCGGGAAGTAGTCTCCCTCTCTTCTACACACCCTAACCTGAGCCTCACTATCCTCATAAAAACTCTTTACAGCATTTAGTAACTTACCACCTATTCCATATACTTGCAACATCTGCCACATTGCTCCCCTATCCACTCTATCATATGCCTTTTCTGAATCCATAAATGCAATAAAAACTTCCCTACCTTTATCTAAATACTGTTCACATATATATGCTTCAATGTAAACACTTGATCTACACATCCCCTACCCACTCTAAAACCTCCTTGCTCATCCGCAATCCTACATTCTGTCTTACCTCTAATTCTTTCAATTATAACCCTACCATACACTTTTCCTGGTATACCCAATAAACTTATTCCTCTATAATTTTTACAATCTCTTTTGTCCCCTTTCCCTTTATATAAAGGGACTATACATGCTCTCTGCCAATCCCCTCTTTCATACATTTATTAAACGAAAGTACCAACCACTCCAACACTATATCCCCCCCTGCTTTTAACATTTCTGTCATGATCCCATCACTTCCAGCTGCTTTACCCCCTTTCATTCTACGTAATGCCTCACGTACCTCCCCCACACTTACATTCTGCTCTTCTTCACTCCTAAAAGATGGTATACCTCCCTGACCAGTGCTTGAAATTACCACCTCCCTTTCTTCCTCAACATTTAAAAGTTCCTCAAAATATTCTCTCCATCTACCTAATACCTCCCTCTCCCCATCTACTAACTCCCCTACTCTGTTTTTAACTGACAAATCCATACTTTCCCTAGGCTTTCTTAACTTGTTTAACTCACTCCAAAATTTTTTCTTATTTTCATTAAAATTTCTTGACAGTGCCTCTCCCACTCTATCATCTGCTCTCCTTTTGCACTCTCTCACCACTCTCTTCACCTTTCTTTTACTGTCCATATACTCTGCTTTTCTTATAACACTTCTGCTTTGTAAAAACCTCTCATAAGCTAACTTTTTCTCTTTTATCACACCTTTTACTTCATCATTCCACCAATCACTCCTCTTTCCACCTGCCCCCACCCTTCTATAACCACAAACTTCTGCCCCACATTCTAATACTGCATTTTTAAAACTATTCCAACCCTCTTCAACCCCCCCACTGCTCATCTTTGCACTAGCCCACCTTTCTGCCAACAGTCGCTTATATCTCCCCCGAACTTCCTCCTCCCTTAGTTTATGCACTTTCACCTCCCTCTTACTTGTTGTTGCCACCTTCCTCTTTTCCCATCTACCTCTTACTCTAACTGTAGCTACAACTAAATAATGATCCGATATATCAGTTGCCCCTGTATAAACATGTACATCCTGGAGCCTACCCATCAACCTTTTATCCACCAATACATAATCTAACAAACTACTTTCATTACGTGCTGCATCATACCTTGTATATTTATTTATCCTCTTTTTCATAAAATATGTATTACTTATTACCAAATCTCTTTCTACACATAGCTCAATTAAAGGCTCCCCATTTACATTTACCCCTGGCATCCCAAATTTACCTACTACTCCCTCCATAACATTTTTACCCACTTTAGCATTGAAATCCCCAACCACCATTACTCTCACACTTGATTCAAAACTCCCTACGCATTCACTCAACATTTCCCAAAATCTCTCTCTCTCCTCTACACTTCTTTCTTCTCCAGGTACATACACACTTACTATAACCCACTTTTCACATCCAATCTTTATTTTACTCCACATAATCCTTGAATTAATACATTTATAGTCCCTCTTTTCCTGCCATAGCTTATCCTTCAACATTATTGCTACTCCTTTACCTCTAACTCTATTTGAAACCCCTGACCTAATCCCATTTATTCCTCTCCATTAGAACTCTCCCACCCCCTTCAGCTTCATTTCACTTAAAGCCAGGACATCCAGCTTCTTCTCATTCATAACATCCACAATCATCTCTTTCTTATCATTTGCACAACATCCACGCACATTCAGACTTCCCACTTTGACAATTTTCTTCTTATTCTTTTTAGTAATCTTTACAGGAAAAGGGGTTACTAGCCCATTGTTCCCATTGTTCTCTTTCTTCATATCCATAGTAATTCTCACCCTTTTTGCTGTAGGGTTGGCACTAGAAGCTTTCTTGGGGCCCATGGTGACTTATTTTGCAGGTTCAATCACTAAAAAGGCTGCGATAATATGGAAATGTTCCGATTGTATGCTTGGAAGCAACCACGGTGGCTGGCTGGCTTGTAAACACTGGCCAGAAGTGGACGCATCTCAGACGGAAGGAATAGTGTTGGTCGAGTTTTTTAGCGCTAGTCGAGGCAAAATTTTTGCTTTAAAATGTATTGCTAGTCGGATTTATCGTTAATCGATGCCATCATTGGTCGAGGGTCCACTGTACTATCAAAGGTTGTCTTTCCTAATAGCACCCTAGACATTGCAATTAAGGAACAAAAGTGTTGTAGGGTGTGTAGGTGATAGATGGAGCAGGGTGTAATGCATTTTCAAAAAAAATTGTCTTATATTACATAATGACGTCACTTTCCTCCATATGACACCTTCACTTTTCAGTTTATCTTCCTAATACTCCCACTTGTGACTTGATAATAGTTCAGGAAGGAATAAAACATCAAGTTTCTTCTCGTACATTCCAGCTGGAGTATTGTGATTTATTCATTTCTCCTCCCCTGATGTAATGTAATATAAAAGTTCTAGTTGTGTGTTCCTATGAAATACTTGTTCAAATTCACCCTTGAACATAACATTATCCAAATGAATGTTTACTTAGTTGAAGAGTACTATATGTATACCAATACAGAGCTATTATGAGTATTGACCAACGTTCTGTTCTTGTATTTGTGTATCGTAGTAATCAGCAGTGCTTACCATTTTTCCTTAATTTTGTACAATATCTTAGTAAATATCATGGTTACATTTGTTGGTTGTTTATAATGGATATGGAACAGTGTATAATATGTTACTATACCAAGGTTTTTATTGCTTTCCAGGATACTAGGTATGCCAGTAGAACTACAAAATAGATTATTCAAGTACTTCACAGATACACTAGCTGCCATTATTAGTCAGGCAAAGCGTACTGGAAAATTTGATATGGGTATTCTAGGTGAGCTTCATGATTTGTAATGTATAGTAGTGTTAACCCTTTGACTGTTGGAAGCCCATTTCTGAAACTGTCATTTTATGTTGCAAAATTTTTGGAAAAAAAAAAAAAAATTCTTATGAAATGATAGAGAATCTTTTCCAATGCTAATGCCACCAAAAGTACGAAATTTGATCGAAAACTTTTGGAATTACGCTCCTGCGAAGTTAGTGATCTCGGCGATATATATGCAGCGGCGATTTTTCAGCGAATTCCATTGTTCTTGTCGACCAAACTCATTGCTATTGCTTTAGAACTCCATTTTTTCTATTAATTGAGTACAAGACAGTGCCCATTTACCGATTTCAGCTACCCAATAAAGTGGTCAGAAATTGGCAATTTGGCCAATTTCATGCAAATTAAAAAAGATGCCAATTTCAAAATAGGGTCCAGAATAAACAATGCAGACATCCTTGACACTAAAATAACATATCCTCTGTTCATTAGTCACATCTCCAGGCCCCTCTTATATTACTCTTGCTTTCTATTTTGATTTTTTATTCACACAAAAAATAGAAGATTTACTGTTATACAGACTACTGCATTATTGTAAAAATGGTATAAATAATATCAGTGCACTAGTGAAAGAATGTTAGACTCCCCAGTTGACGTGTATTCGACGTGTGGTGTGATTTGCTTACTCTTGAACATTGGTAAAAATTGAACATTTCTGCTACTTCGAGCTCAGTTTCGAGGTCATTTTCATTGTGAAACTAATCAAAATCATCTCTATTTCTGTAATATGTTTTCCATTCTATCAAATGAGACCAAGAAAACAAGAATACAACCATAAATACTATACGAAAATACACCTTAAAGTTGGTGTTTTAATCCAAGAGCATGGTCGGAGTTTTTTTTTTTTCTCATTATGCACTGCGTGCTGCAGGATTTTTTTTTTTATACAGTGCACACTGACCACACAGACCCATTCTCACACATGTGGGCCTACCAGCTTTCTCCTGCTTGATTTGAAGCTGCTAGAATTGAGTGTATATACATCCGAAACACTGACTCGTATATAAACAGCCGAAACAGTCAAAGGGTTAATTGTCTAAGTTAGTAAATGTTCAGATATTTTCCCCCACATAAATTCATCTCTTGCAAAAATGAATTTTTGCTATTCTTGTGTAAATTTATTTGTATTCAAATGTTTCCTTTTGAACTAAGTGTTTATATAATCATTCATTATATTAATACATTGTGATGGATCCAGTAATTACTGATTCCTTTTTTTTTTTATTCAGACTTGGGAATAGGGGGGGAAGGGTGTAAGAAGACAAAAACGAAGACATGGGTAGGTAAGCACGTCACTGGAACAGCTAAGACAGAGCTCCATACCGTCCTTGTTGAGCGAGGTTTATCTTGGTCAGAAGTACTTGAAAAATGGGCTGAACTCACTGGAGATTTAGAAGGCTTCTACCTCTCCCATCAGGTATGAAATGTGCTCTTTTTACTCTCTCAATCTCTCTCCCTCAGAATGTAGTGTAGTTCTTTGTAGTGATGGGACGATACCAAAATTTTTGCTGATACTGATACCCAATTTTCAGCTGATACCGATACTTTTCGTATACAGCAGGGCCCCGCTTTACGGCGTTTCACTTTACAGCGTTCCGCTAATACGGTCATTTCAAATTATGACCAAAACTCGCTATACGGCTCCCTCCACCTGACTTTCTAATACGGTCACCGCGCCCCACCCTGTTTGTTTACATTCTCCGTGAGCTCAGTAAGCACTAAGTCTCTCATTATGTCTGGAAACTCCAAAATTTCAAATGTTTTTAAAAGTTATTTCATATTTTATATATACTCTGATAATTATACTTATGTATAGCTGTACTTAAATAAACTTACATACTGTGCTGGCATGCAGGTACACATTAAAATCAGTAAGAGTGTTTTATGTCTCCAGACGTCATATTAGTAATGATAATAATAATCACCGAGTCTCATTTAAATGTCATATATTACGTTAAATACACATTTTCATTAATCCATCTATGATATTTTTTCAAAATTATATAATAAACACCTCGGTGGGAGACGGCCGACTTGTTGAAAAAAAAAAAAAAATAATAAACACGATACATAACATAAAAAGATGATAAATACACCCCACAATAGAATAAATAAACATAAATATGAGATGTGGTAGCCAGATAACTTGTACAAGTGATGCCAAGAATAACATTTTCTCTAATCTAACATAAGAGAAAATGTGTTACTGGGGGTAACTGTAGAAAATTATTCCTTTCGTATGTATGTAAGTAAGTTTATTCAGGTATACACAAATACAGTTACATAGATTATCATACATAACAACATATGTGTAGAGAACCCAGGTTAACCCAAAAAAGTCAGAGTGACTTATTTCCATTGCCTTCACTCAGAGCATCATTTCTTCTCAAAATGATGTTACATGAGAATGGGAGTGTTCTTCTTTATTTATTCTACCGTATCAATGTAGAGACAACCTGTACACAATGTAACTTGTACACAAACCAGACGTGTACACTGTTTGTTTACAAAACTTACCTTCGCCTGGTTTATTTACATAACTCTGCGCCTGTACTCTCTCATCCACTCATTCTTTCTCTCTCTCTCATTTATTCGTTTTATCTCATTTACTTACTCCTGACTCTACATTAAGACTACAAATATTTTAAGGTAAGTAATGAGTGAACTGTATATACATTTTATCGCTCTGGGATGCTTAAATATCATAGAATATATGTGGGTGGGTTGGCCTGGTATGGTAGCCCGGCTGACTACCATACATACCACACTTGATTTTTTACAATAAATACTACTCATCTCACCCTATATTTTAAGGTAAGTAATGAGTGAACTGTATATACATTTTATCGCTCTGGGATGCTTAAATATCATAGAATAGTATGTGTGGGTGGGGTGGCCTGGTAAGGTAGCCTGGCTGATTACCATACATACCACACTTGATTTCTTACTATAAATACTACTTGTCTCACCCTAGATTAAGACTATAAATATTTTAAGGTAAGTAATGAGTGCACTGTGTGTGTACTGTACTTTTTTATTGTTTTTTGATGCCTGGTTCTATTGCTAACTTAATATATGTTAGTGTAAACTTGTTATCTAGTGTTTGTATGTATTTGTAAGTGGAAAAAAAGGGTGTTCCACTTTACGGCGGTTTCCGCTTTACGGCGGTAGCCTGGAACCTAACCAGCCGTATAAGTGGGACCCTACTGTAATTTTATTCTAAAAATTATAATAGCTATAATCAGTATACATGTATAAGGGAATGCTTATTGCACTGGATATTAAATAACACAGGAAGGTTAAATATTAAATGACTTAATTTCAATGAGATGACAGTGTTATTACTCATTACTTGCCACATTTTTACTGGTTGTCAAAGGCACTTTTTGTATTGAATTTTTTTCTAGAGTATTAATGTCTTGCTTTGTTTAGTCTTATACTTTACTGCATTAGTCAAGGTGGGGAGCACAATGAATTTATGAAGCTGAATTTTCAGAAAGCATCACATCAGACTAACACAATTGATTTTCTCATCATTTTTTCAATGCATGAGAATATAATACAAGTTTAGTTTAGAATGATTAAATATAAAATATTTATGATTTTATTTATATTTTTAGAGTAATTTTGTATGTTAAAAGACTGTCATCATTATACATTACTTTATCACAGGTACGAAATAACAAGAAAACTGCTGTACTTGCTGTATTGGAGCCATCTCCTGCCAACAAAAAGCGTGAAAAGAATGCACGAGTGTTCATTTTATATCGACCCAACACAGGGATGCAGATGAAGCAAGAACCATACTCTGACCTCAAAAAGAAGTACAAGAAAGTAACCCCAGATGAAGCTCAGGAACACTGGGAGGAACAATTCAATTCATCTAGTCACATATGTTCACATGCATATTGGTGAGTGGGCAATCCCAGATTGGGAAACTTGTGGAATATGCATAGTGATCCACACTTTATTTCTTCTGCAGCCACCTGCTTAGTCTGTGTGTTAATTTGAATATGCCACTTAGCATCAGCTTCAGATTTTCAGTGCTAGTGTATCACAATAAAACAAGGTTCTATTTTTTTATGGGAAGCATGCGTCTGATTTGTCAGATTTAGAAATAATTATTTGGGGAGGGGATCTCCTGAGCCATCTGAAGCTACAACAAACACTGTACCTTTCCTGTGCCTAATACTTTATCCTGGGTAGTCTCAAATCAAAAGTAAGGGGCATTAACATGTTCTAATTATATGCTTTAGGAAAATAACCTCCAAATTGAGATATGGACACAATAATAATTTTTAATTTGTAAACACCCATTAAAAATTTGTTCTTTTAGTTTTTACATTTTCCTGGAGGACTCGTTATGAATTCATTGGATCCTGTTTAACAGACTGTATTTTATTGCAAAGTAACTTTAGACTTTAGGCAACATCATGCATTATATATAGTTCTATAGCTCTTTGGCCAATTTGTTGTTTCTCATTATTTAATGTTGCTTCTCGTACATTAACCCTTTCAGGGTCCGTCCCGTAGATCTACGGCTTTACGTTCAGGGTCCAAACCGTAGATCTACGCCATGAGCTCAGCTCACTCTGATGAACTGTGAGTGGTACATTTGGGCCTAGATATGAGAGAATACATCTATGTGGTATGTGTGCACCACATAAAACAGATCCTGCAGCGCACTGTGTATAATGAGAGAAAAAAAATGAAATCATGATTTTTTGATTAAAACAGCAACTTTGCAGTGTTTTTTCGTATGTTTTTTATAGTTGTATTTGCGATTTCTTGGTCTCATTTGATAGAATGGAAGACATATTACAGAAATAGAGATGATTTTGATTGGTTTTAGCACTGGAAATGGCTTGAAACTGAGCTCAAAGTAGCAGAAATGTTAAATTTTTGCCGATATTCAAGAGTAAACAAACGACCTCACACATCTAATACACGTCAGCTGGTGGGTCTAATATACATTCACAAATATGGTGATGATATTTATACAATTATTACAGTATTGCATAACAGAAAATCTTCTATTTTTTGGTGTGAATAAAAATTCATTATGTGAATAAAAAGTCAAAATGGAATTTATTTGTAAAGCCTCAAAACATAACTAATGAACAGAGGAAATGTTAGTTTAGTGCCAGGAATGCCTACATTGTTCATTCTGGACCCTATTTTGAAATTGGAAATATTTGAACTTTGTGTTAAATTGGCCAAATTAACAATTTCCTATCACTTTATTTTGTAGTTGAAACAGTTGACCTGACGATTTCTTGTGCTCAATCGATAGAACAGAAGTAATACTAGTGAAATAGCTAAGAATTTGGTTGATTGGAATAATGTAATTGGCCTAAAATGGGAGTCAAAGTCGGCAAAATCGCCGATTCGTAAATATCGCTGACACATCAAAATTCGCGAGAGCATAATTTCGTCAATTTTCCACCAAATTTCGTACTTTTTGTTTTATTACCTTCACAAAAAGATTCTCTACGATTTCATAAGAAAAAATAACAAATTTTTTTTTTGAAAATTCTTGGACACTGGTGCGTGGCTCCAGATTTGGGCCTTGGACCCTGAAAGGGTTAAACATTATAAACAACATTAAGGGAGCAAGGAGCTAGTAACCCCTTCTGTATAAATTACTAAATTTAAAAAGAGAAACTTTCGTTTTTCTTTTTGGGCCACCCTGCCTCAGTGGGATACGGCCAGTTTGTTGAAAGAAAAGAAGAAGAAACAACAATAACCTATTGATAATCACATTTCAGTGATATGGACATGCCCTGTTGGGCAGGAAACCTGCTACTCGTTAAGGTCTTTTGTCCTAGGTCAGGTCTGTCTGCATGATCACCCCTTGAAGTAGGTTGAAATTTTCTTGCAGGTGGCTTCTCAGGGTTGGCAGAAATCATCATTAAAAAAGTCTTTTTTTTTCCTGGTTTTAATGCTAATGTGAATATGTTTTCATCTTTGGTTCTCCCTGCTGTGGCTGGAGATTGGCTTTAATAAATTTTAGGCATTTTTAGCCTTGTTTTATAACATCTTAATTTGCTTTTAAAACCAAACCATACCCCGGCTGGGATTGAACCCGCGGTCAGAGAGTCTCAAAACTCCAGACCGTCGTGTTAGCCACTAGACAGACATTAAACAGACATTACATTCAGGATGATTTGCAATCACTTTTATTAAGTTAGCAATTTTTATTAATCCTTTAACTGTTGATCATGTAGAACTGTCATTGGGATCAGTATCACTCACATATATAGATAAAGGTAGGGAAGTTTTTATTGCATTTATGGATTTAGAAAAGGCATATGATAGAGTGGATAGGGGAGCAATGTGGCAGATGTTGCAAGTATATGGAATAGGTGGTAAGTTACTAAGTGCTGTAAACAGTTTTTATGAGGATAGTGAGGCTCAGGTTAGGGTGTGTAGAAAAGAGGGAGACTACTTCCCAGTAAAAGTAGGTCTTAGACAGGGATGTGTAATGTCACCATGGTTGTTTAATATATTTATAGATGGGGTTGCAAAAGAAGTAAATGCTAGGGTGTTGGGGAGAGGGGTGGGATTAAATTATGGGGAATTAAATACAAAATGGGAATTGACACAGTTGATTTTTGCTGATGATACTGTGCTTATGGGAGATTCTAAAGAAAAATGGCAAAGGTTAGTGGATGAGTTTGGGAGTGTGTGTAAAGGTAGAAAGTTGAAAGTGAACATAGAAAAGAGTAAGGTGATGAGGGTATCAAATGATTTAGATAAAGAAAAATTGGATATCAAATTGGGGAGGAGGAAGAGCATGGAAGAAGTGAATGTTTTCGGATACTTCGGAGTTGACGTGTCGGTGGATGGATTTATGAAGGATGAGGTTAATCATAGAATTGATGAGGAGAAAAAGGTGAGTGGAGCGTTGAGGTATATGTGGAGACAAAAAACGTTATCTATGGAGGCAAAGAAGGGAATGTATGAAAGTATAGTAGTACCAACACTCTTATATGGGTGTGAAGCTTGGGTTGTGAATGCAGCAGCGAGGAGACGGTTGGAGGCGTTGGAGATGTCCTGTCTAAGGGCAATGTGTGGTGTAAATATTATGCAGAAAATTCGGAGTGTGAAAATTAGGAGAAGGTGTGGAGTTAATAAAAGTATTAGTCAGAGGACTGAAGAGGGGTTGTTGAGGTGGTTTGGTTGTTTAGAAAGAGAATGGATCAAAGTAGAATGACATGGAGAGCGTATAAATCTGTAGGGGAAGGAAAGCGAGGTAGGGGTCGTCCTCAAAAAGGTTGGAAGGAAGGGGTAAGGGAGGTTTTGTTGGCGAGGGGCTTGGGCTTCCAGCAGGCGTGCGTGAGCGTGTTCGATAGGAGTGAATGGAGACGTATGGTGTTTGGGACCTGACGATCTGTTGGAGTGTGAGCAGGGTAATATTTAGTGAAGGGATTCAGGGAAACCAGTTATTTTTATATAGCCGGACTTGAGTACTGGAAATGGGAAGTACAATGCCTGCACTCTAAAGGAGGGGTTTGGGGTATTAGCAGTTTGGAAGGATATGTTGTGTATCTTTATATGTATATGCTTCTAAACTGTTGTGTTCTGAGCACCTCTGCAAAAACAGTGATTATGTGTGAGCAAGGTGAAAGTGTTGAATGATGATGAAAGTATTTTTTTGGGGGGGATTTTCTTTCTTTTTGGGTCACCCTGCCTCGGTGGGAGACGGCCGACTTGTTAAAAAAAAAATACATATATAGCTCTATACATAGTTCATACCTCCCTCAAATTTGCTGCAAGTGGCAACATTTGATGATGGGTGTATTCAGTATAACAAACAAGCCTCTGACTCTGTGAGTTAAAATAACATTTTTTTGTGGGATTTTTTCTTGGTGCCAATAGATAGCCCACAAGGTATACTAGGGAAATGGAGAAGAGTTTGGAATGGAAGTGGCCTGAAACAGGCTGCTAAGTGGCAGAAATGGTAAATTTTGGGTAATTTTCCTGGGGAAGGGTAGGGGCCCTTGAACAGCCCCTCATCCCCTGGTCTGTTTTATAGGTTTTATGGGTTTTATAGGCCTGCTTCAGTTATTGGGAGAACCTAAAATATTAACATGTATTCTGTTATGGTTTAGTCACGAAGACATCAGGAATAATTTTTTTTATTATTTATTTCAAAATGGAGAGCAAATGTTTAGGAGAGGCTGGGGATGTGACTAACAAGGGAAAGATTTCTTTAGTGACTGGAATGCCTACAGTGTTTGTTTTGGACTGTTTTTAAATTATGTTTTGTTGAAAATAGAGTAAAATAGGCCATATTAGAATATTCCAGGTGCTTAACTACAAAATTTGCATTCCTGCAAATAAAAATTCCTGTTGTGGAAAGATTTTGGAAAAAAAAAAAAAAATTAGAATGAAAGAGTGGAATCTGATAAAAAAAAAAATTAAAATTTTATGGTGTGTTCAAGTTGGCAAAAAAAAAAAAAAATGATCACTCATTGCCAACAGCAGTATTTGCTTCTTACAATATATTGACACTAAAATATAATTGTTTTTGCTTTTTAATTGCTTTTAATGTTTAACACTGTGTACACTAGTTTCTTATGATATAAAGTGTGTTTAACCCCTTAACTGTCCAAACGTAGATCTACGTTCTCTTGCAAAGCGCTCCGAATATTTTGAACTTTTTTTTCTTTTTAAATTAAAGAGGGCATTTTCTGTGTGTAATAAGACCAAAAAAAAATTTAAGGGCTAGCATGTGCTGAGATATAACACCGCGAAGTTGGTGCTGGATGCTCACTTGACAGCAACATGGAGTCCTGCCCCATGTAGAAATGTTGCCAATATACATTTTTTCCTCTTTATTTTAATTTATATAATTTTTCTGTTCTGATAATTACAGTTTGTAGTAGTTCTTGTGATTTCATATCCAATGTTTCTTCTGACACTAATATTAGGTACGGAAATAGCACTCAGTCACAAACGCATTGACAGGTGAACATTTTCACCTGCCTTGGTCATGTACTATTGTGTAGAAACACATACATAGTATTTATAGGTTCCAGCAATGTTTTAGACATGCTGGGGTATATATGAAACTCCTTGAAGCATGGTGTAAGGCTTGGGTATATATGAAACTCCTTGAAGCATAGTGTAAGGCTGGGGTATATATGAACCTCCTTGGAGCATGGTGTAAGGCTTGGGTATATGTGAAACTCCTTGAAGCATGGTGTAAGATATGTCACTCCACTGCTGACAGTGTAGCAGTGGAGTGACATCTGATGATGATGCACTGCCTTGGCTCCATTTGTTTTCACTGTTACACATAAACATGTCTGTCTATATCTGTCTGTGTCTGTCACTGTCTGGCTAGCTCTGTCCCTGTTTATCTGTCTCCTCTTATCATCTGTCTTCCTGTCTCTCTGTCTGCTTGTCTCTTTCTCAGAGAGAGAGCTGCTTATGGACCAACAGGTGTTACACAGTGATGCAGAGCTGTCACGTCTAAACAAGTGAAAATGCATATTACTTGCCAGTTATGCTTATTATGCCTTATATTTACAAGCACATTATAGCACTTTCTCTGGATTTTTTGAGTTATCCTAGGTAATTTACGCTATGAATAATAATTGTATTTATGTGTACCTGTGAGATAGAGACAGGGACAGAGAGACAGACAGACAGACAGGGATAGATACAGACAGACAGACGGAGATAGAGACAGCCGAAGTCAATTAGCCAGCCAGCCACCCAACTAGACGGCCTGCCGAGCAGGTATTACACATGTTCCCGAATTGTTTCTCTTTGCTTAGGGCATAGGTTATAGGACATTCTGGCAGGATGACACTACCAGTGGTATCAAAATTGAAAGGATGTTGCACAAATGTTGTACATGGGTTATTATCGAGGTTTTTGATATTTCCTTGACCATTTGTGGCCACATCCATCTCAAAGCCACTAAACTCGGGGTCAACATCACTTTCTTCTTAAAAGGGGAGTGTTAAAATGACATGGCATCAGTGAATCCCTGGTGTTTGCCGTGCTGTTTGCTCTAGCTGGTGCTCAGTTGAACTGGTGCTCCCAGAAGGTACTAAGTGGTCCCAGATTTTTTTAATACTGTGCACACCAAGTGTTAAGACCCATTCTATACTGACCAGGCATCTCAGGCCAATCGTGCCAAATTTGGAGGCAGGAAAAATAAAACTTTTATCTACGTTTGGGCAAATGCTTACCCCGACATTGCTTAACTTAGATATATTTTTTTTTGTTAATAATTTGGTCTTCAAATACTATATACTAGGAATACTTGCCTATTATAATTTTTAAAAGTGTATAACTCCTCAAAACATGGAAATAAATCAAATTGACTTGACTGGTATATCCTGGGTTAAATATACTTAGTGTACTTTGTGGCTGATTTGGCAGATTTGAAAGTACAAAAAATTGTGCAACTTGTACATTGGAGACATAGTCATCACTTGTGTATTAGTATATTGGACACAGTTTAGCCCTTTCAGGGTCCGTGCCGTAGATCTACGGCTTTACGTTCAGGGTTCAAACGTAGATATACGCCATGAGCTCAGCTCACTCTGATAAGCTGTGAGCAGTAAATTTGGGCCTAGATATGAGAGAATACATCTATGTGGTATGTGTGCACCACATAAAACAAATCCTGCAGCACACAGTGCATAATGAAAGAGAAAAAAAAACAGACTGTAATTTTCTATTAAAATGGCAACTTTGCAGTGTTTTTTGTATGTTTTTTATAGTTGTATTTGCAATTTCTTGGTCTCATTTGATAGAATGGAAGATATAATACAGAAATAGAGATGATTTTGATTGGTTTTAGTACTGAAAATGGCTTGAAACTGAGCTCAAAGAAGCAGAAATGTTAAATTTTTGCCGATGTTCAAGAGTAAACAAATGACCTCACAAGTCTAATACATGACAGCTGGTGGGTCTAATATACATTCACAAATGTGGTGATATTATTTATACAATTATTACAGTATTGCATAACAGTAAATCTTCTATTTTTTGGTTGGAATAAAAATTCATTTTGTGAATAAAAAATCAAAATGGAATTCATTTGTTAAGCCTGAAAACGTAACTAATGAACAGAGGAAAAGTTAGTTTAGTGCCAGGAATGCCTGCATTGTTTATTTTGGACCCTATTTTGAAATTGGAATACTGTATTTTGAACTTTGCATTAAATTGGCCGAATTACCAGTTTCCGGTCACTTTATTTTGTTGTTGAAACAGTTGACTTGGCGATTTCTTGTGCTCAATCGATAGAATAGAAGTAATACTAGTGAAATAGCTAAGAATTTGGTTGACTGGAATACTGTAATTGCCCTAAAATGGGAGTCAAAGTTGGCAAAATCACCGATGCGTAAATATCGCCGACACAAAATTTGCAGGAGCATAATTTCATCAGTTTTCCATCAAATTTCGTACTTTTTGTTTTATTACCTTCAGAAAAAGATTCTCTACCATTTCATAAGAAAGAACAACAAAATTATTTTTTCAAAATTCTTGGACCCTGGTGCACTTTGAAATTCGGCCTCTGGACCCTGAAAGGGTTTGAGGTTAAAATTCTGAGAGGTTCAAAATTAATATGCTCCCAGTGCTGGAGAATTAAAAAAAATTACCAAAAAATTTGCTCTGGTTTTAGATTTGAAGTAAAGACAAAATGAGTGAATCTGGTTAGAATCTGGTTAATACTGTAACACTTGCACTTGCCACATGAAGATAGTTCCTGTTTTTTTTTTTTTTTTTTTCATGATTTCTTTAGTTTTCTCTAAGTTAAAGGCACAGGAATGTGTAGTTAGTGAAACTGTTGCTTACTAGCCTTTGTGTGTTCTGCCTTTTAGCTATTTTTCCCTAAATTTACTTCATGATAAATGATAAATATGGCATAGTCACAGAAAAACTACCAGATTTTCATCCATGTTGTGCTGAAACAGTGGAAATAAATTGTTTTAGTCACTGGTCTACTGCCTATCTATGTATTGGGTCATGATCTCAAATTTAAATGTAGAATTTGATAGTGTGTCAGGTTTTTCAATTTGTGGTGATGGAAATATAATATGAATCATTAAAATGTGCAAGTAATAACAACCAACAAAAAATTTATGAAAACGTAGAAAAAAACGGTTTAAACAAAGTTTTATGTTGGCTTAAAAGATACTTTAAACTTTTGGTTTAAATCAATCCTCCCTGTGACATAAAAATGTATTTATGCTGTGCTGTTTTAAATTAACATCATGAATGATTTATGTGTTGCATCATTAGTAGAATTTTACTTTTATTTTGTAAATTTTTGTATATGATATTTATGTCTTTCATTTATCTCAATGATTTATTTACACAACTTAATTTTTTAGGCAAGGCAATTGTCGTCGTGTGAATAGTGGGCTAGAGTGTGAAATTGGCCTACGGCGGCGCACATACCATGTGCTGTGTGGTTTGGTGTTGAATGTGTGGGCGAGAGTAGAAGATGTTCTATCATGTGCACCACAAACACATTCTTCCCCCAAGATGCAAGTTGTACGACTCAAGACCAGTGATGGTATTAAGCTAGTTGGTGAGTATGTTTAAAAAAAAAATGCCGAGTTATTTCAACTGTTTCTGTTGATGATCTTGTTGAAGGCTAGAATCCATTTAGATGTGCCTGAAAATTTTTCCATGACATGTCATTTTTAATGTGTGTACTCCATATGTAAGTAGAGGTTACATCACATTATGGGAGAGATTAATACAGTGAACCCTCGACTTATGATATTAATCCGTTCAGAGAGCTCATCGTTAGACGAAATTATCATAAGTTGAATTAATTTTCCCCATAAGAAATAATGGAAATCCAATTAATCCGTTTCAGACACTCAAAAGTATGAAAAAAAAAAATTTTACCACATGAAACATACATTTTCCTACACACAAAAAAGGATACATGCACAATATACTGTACTAAATGAAGAATAAATGACACTTACCTTTACTGAAGATGTGGTGATGAGTGATGAAACACTGTTTTTCTTGAACACACTGGGATTTTCAGAGTGATACATGAGTAAAGGCTTCACTTTGCAATCCCCACTAGTATAAGAAAACATGAGGGTTAGCCTGTCTTTCATAGGCTTGTGTCCTAGGAGTGCCTTTTCCTCCTGAGTAATGTAGGTCCTGTTTAGCATTTTCTTCCAGAATAGGCATTTTTCATCACAATTAAACACTTGAATAGGCATTTTTCATCACAATTAAACACTTGTTGGGGTTGGAATTTTTCAGCTTCACCATGCCTTATCACACTGTGTATGCCACTATGATTCTTAAGTCTCTCAAACCAACCTTTGCTGGCCTTAAATTCACAAATATGAGCACTAGTTCCAGGCATTTTTTCCTGTTCATCTGGGTGTTGGTCGACTAGTGTGGGCCGCATCCTGGGGGACAAGATTAAGGACCCCAATGGAAATAAGTTAGACAGTCCTCAATGTCGCACTGACTTTCTTGGGTTATCCTGGGTCACATCCTGGGGGACAAGATTAAGGACCCCAATGGAAATAAGTTAGACAGTTCTCAATGTCGCACTGGCTTTCTTGGTTATCCTGGGTGGCTAACCCTCTGGGGTTAATTGTTTCTCGGTAATTATTTCTCATTAAACCACACCAGCAACAGTCTCTCCACATCTTCGAGTAGTACAGCTGACGGTGGTGCAACAACAGCTGAAGGTGGTGCAACAACAGCTGACCGTGGTACAGCAGCAGCTGACTGTGGTACAGTAGCAGCAGCAGCTGACTGTGGTACAGCAGCAGCTGACCGTGGTACAGCAACAGCTGATGGTGGTGCAGCAACTGCTGACGGTGGTGCAGCAGCAGCTGACCATGGTATGATAGTATTTCTCACCTTTTTGTACTGAAGGATTGGCAATAGAAGCTTTCTTTGGGCCCATGGTGGTTTATTTAGCAGTTACAAGCACTAAAAACAATGGAATAATACAAAATTTATCGAATGTATGCATGGCTGTCCGCCCTGGCTTGTAAACAATGGCGCTAGCCTAGCTGAGGCACTCTGGCCAGATGGGGACCGTGTTTGGGACAAATGATGTAAGTCAAGTTTTTCTTTGTAGGTTGGGGAAAATTTTTTATGCTGAAACGCTTCGTAAGTCAATTTTATCGTAAGATGAGGCCTTCGTAAGTTGGGGGTTCACTGTATATGTTTTCTACAAAAACACAAAATGATGCTATATAGGGTTCTGATAAACAGTATCCCGCCAGCTGACAGTTATCTCTTCTAAGCCATAGTAAGCCATACCAGCTTCTGAAACGGCTGTTAATTGTGGGAATAAGAATATGTATTTTGTTTCAGATTTTTAATCATTTTATGAAAACACTTGGAGCTCATAATAAACCTTCCTTCCCTTCCCCACATTTAAGACAGACCACAAGGCATTCATCTCATTTGCTGCTTAAGAGAAGCTCTTTGTAGTGGTAATTTTGATACGATGTTCTTGCTGGGAATTCTCAATTAAAGTGTGACCACAGAATCATCCCAGATATTTTGTATATAGTATGCTCACATAATTGACACAACTGTAATTCTAATTTTCAATTACTATTTAAAGTTTGCCAACATCACAGTTAGATTATCCTTTGACTGCAACATCGCCAGTGCTCCTTCAGAGTGTAGGCATTGACCTTCCCACCTCCAGGACTTAAGTCTGGCTAACCAGTTTCTCTGAATCACTTCATGAAAGTTACCTTGCTCACACTCCAACAGCAAGTCCATTAAAAAAACTACTTGGGGCCCATTTCCTCATATCTAACATACTCTCACAAACCTGCTGGATGCTCAAGCCCTTAAAACTCAAAGCCTCTTTTACATCTATATTAAAATGCTTTCTATATTTGGCATGTGCTCCAGGCATATATTGTTTTTTATGAATGGTAGAAGACATTAAGGAATATAATATATGTGCCTCCTTTTCATATGGTATGTTTTTGATTCTTACAGCTGTAGGATGTTGTAATCCTTATACAGTCAAATCCTTATATGGAATTAAACCTGGTTGAATTGTTCAGTAGAGTTTTGGCAATACAGTATTACTGCCTTGCCAGTGGCATTGAGTCACTCATGGTTTGGAAACAACCAGCATGTGTAATTCCTGGGGCGATTCATAATTTATTTATCAACATTATCCCCAATTTCTTTTGTTTAATAAATGTATGAAAGAGGGGAAGGTACCTAGGGATTGGCGGAGTGTGTATAGTCCCTTTATATAAAGGGAAGGGGGACAAAAGAGATTGTAAAAATTATAGAGGAATAAGTTTACTGAGTATACCAGGAAAAGTGTACGGTAGGGTTATTATTGAAAGAATTAGAGGTAAGACAGAATGTAGAATTGCGGTTAAGCAAGGAGGTTTTAGAGTGGGTAGGAGATGTGTAGATCAAGTGTTTACATTGAAGCATATATGTGAGCAGTATTTACATAAAGGTAGGGAAGTTTCTATTGCATTTATGGATTTAGAAAAGGCAAATGATAGAGTGGATAGGGGAGCAATGTGGCAGATGTTGCAAGTGTATGGAATAGGTGGTAAGTTACTAAATGCTGTAAAGAGTTTTTATGAGGATAGTGAGGCTCAGGTTAGGGTGTGTAGAAGAGAGGGAGACTACTTCCCAGTAAAAGTAGGTCTTAGACAGGGATGTGTAATGTCACCATGGTTGTTTAATATATTTATAGATGGGGTTGTAAAAGAAGTAAATGCTAGGGTGTTCGGGAGAGGGGTGGGATTAAATTATGGGGAATTAAATACAAAATGGGAAGTGACACAGTTACTTTTTGCTGATGATACTGTGCTTATGGGCGATTCTAAAGAAAAATTGCAAAGGTTAGTGGACGAATTTGGGAATGTGTGTAAAGGTAGAAAGTTGAAAGTGAACATAGAAAAGAGTAAGGTGATGAGAGTATCAAATAATTTAGATAAAGAAAAAATGGTTATCAAATTGGGGAGGAGGAGTATGGAAGAAGTGAATGTTTTCAGATATTTGGGGTTGACGTGTCAGTGGATGGATTTATGAAGGATGAGGTTAATCATAGAATTGATGAAGGAAAAAAGGCAAGTGGTGGATTGAGGTATATGTGGAGGCAAAAATGTTATCTATGGAGGCAAAGAAGGGAATGCATGAAAGTATAGTAGTACCAACACTCTTATATGGGTGTGAAGCTTGGGTTGTAAATGCTGCAGCAAGGAGGCGGTTGGAGGCAGTGGAGATGTCCTGTCTAAGAGCAATATGTGGTGTAAATATTATGCAGAAAATTCGGAGTGTGGAAATTAGGAGAAGGTGTGGAGTTAATAAAAGTATTAGTCAGAGGGCTGAAGAGGGTTTGTTGAGGTAGTTTGGTCATTTAGAGAGAATGGATCAAAGTAGAATGACATGGATAGCGTATAAATCTGTAGGAGAAGGAAGGCGGGGTACGGGTCGTCCTCGAAAAGGTTGGAGGGAGGGGGTAAAGGAGGTGTTGTGGGCGAGGGGTTTGGACTTCCAGCAAGCGTGCATGAGCGTGTTAGATAGGAGTGAATGGAGACAAATGGTATTTGGGACCTGACGATCTGTTGGAGTGTGAGCAGGATAATATTTAGTGAAGGGATTCAGGGAAACCGGTTATTTTATATAACTGGATTTGAGTCGTGGAAATGGGAAGTACAATGCCTTCACTCTAAAGGAGGGGTTTGGGATATTGGCAGTTTGGAGAGATATATTGTGTATTTTTATACGTACACCTACGACCGGCTCGACTTACGACCACTCGACTTACGACTGTGTTTTTTATGCCAAATTCCTGGAAAATAAACAACTATTTGTGTTGTATACAGTGTTTATCCTAAACCTTACAATATAAAATACAGTCCTAACAACATAAAAAGTAAAGTAAAACATGAAATACCAAAATAAAACAATGAAATAAAGTCATTACAAAAATGTTTTGTTGATGTTCAGTAGTAAAGTTCGACTTACGACCGGTTTCTCGGAACCGAACTCGGTCGTAAGTCGAATGGTAGGTGTGTATACTTCTAAACTGTTGTCTTCTGGTCACCTCTGCAAAAACAGTGATTATGTGTGAGTGAGGTGAAAGTGTTGAATGATGAAAGTATTTTCTTTTTGGGTCACCCTGCCTCGTGGGAGATGGCTGACTTGTTGAAAAAAAAAAAAAAACTCCAATTTTCGTGATGTGAAACTGTTGATGCATAAATAATGTAGAGTAGCTCCAATTTACGATGTTAATGCTTTTGGAAAATTTATCACAGGTTGATTGTTTAGTACTCTCAGCCTATTCTCCCACAAGAAAATGGATTAATGCATTCCTGAGTCATAATGTTCCATATCTAAATTATTAATTTTTTCTGAAAGTAATTTTAATCACATTTTATATTCACTACTGTTTCTTATCATGTTATTAAAAATACTCGAGTATGAAACATTGACTGGTGGGTGGGTGCATGTGAAAAAAAGGTTGGGTGGGTGTAAGAGTGGATTTCCAAGTTAGTGCGTGTGAGGTATGGATTTTTATTATTTATTAGCACACTTGCCGATTCCCACCAAGGCAGGGTGGCATGAAAAAGAAAAAACTTTCACCATCATTCACTCCATCACTGTCTTGCCAGACGGGTGCTTTACACTACAGTTTTTAAACTGCAACATTAACACCCCTCCTTCAGAGTGCAGGCACTGTACTTCACAAAGATAGGTAGGATAATTGATTCAAACGTAGATGTTAGGGAACTTCAGGAGGATTTAAACAAACTCTATTCTTGGCCAGAAAAGTGGCAGATGCAGTTCTATGTAGATAAATGCAAGGTTCTGAAGCTCGGGAGTGTCCATAACCCTAGCACTTATAAGTTAAATGATGTAGAACTTAGCCATACTGATTGCAAAAAGGACTTGGGGGTTATGGTGAGCAGCAACCTTAAACCAAGACAGCAATGCCTAAGCGTACATAATAAGGCAAATAGATTACTGGGATTTATATCAAGAAGTGTAAGCAACAAAAGTCCAGAGGTCATACTGCAGCTTTATGCATCATTAGTAAGGCCTCACCTAGATTATGCAGCTCAGTTCTGGACTCCATATTACAGAATGGACATAAATTCGTTAGAAAACATTCAGCATAGGATGACTGAATTAATACATAGCATTAGAAATCTTCCTTATGAAGAAAAATTGAAGACTCTTATGTTACATTCACTTGTTAGATGAAGAATGAGGGGAGACCCGATCGAAGTGTATAAGTGGAAGGTAGGTATTAATAAAGGGGATATTAATAAGGTCTTGAGGATATCTCTCCAAGAGAGAACCCGCAGTAATGGATTTAAATTAGATAAGTTTAGATTTAGAAAGGACATAGGAAAGTTTTGGTTTGGAAATAGGGTAGTTGATGAGTGGAGCAGTCTATCTAGTTGGGTTATTGAGGCTAGGACTTTGGGTAGTTTCAAATTTAGGTTGGGTAACCATTTGGTTATCCAAACCATTTGGAGACAAATGGTTTTTAATACTTGACGTTCTGTTGGAGTGTGAGCAAAGTAACATTTATGAAGGGATTCAGGGAAACCGGCAGGCCGGACTTGAGTCCTGGAGATGGGAAGTACAGTGCCTGCACTCTGAAGGAGGGGTGTTAATGTTGCAGTTTAAAAACTGTAGTGTAAAGCACCCTTCTGGCAAGACAGTGATGGAGTGAATGATGGTGAAAGTTTTTCTTTTTTGGGCCACCCTGCCTTGGTGGGAATCAGCCAGTGTCATAATAATAATAATAATAATAATAATAAAGTACATGAGTAGGAGAGGTTGGATTTGAGTGGGACTTGCACATCAGAGCTTATTTCTTGGGTAGCATTGAAAATTGGGTTGGGCAAATGTTTTGTTAGTGGGATGAATTGTAAAGGACCTGCCTAGTATGGACCAACAGGCCTGCTGCAGTGTTCCTCCTTTCTTATGTTCTTATCTCCAGGACTCAAGTATGGCCTGCTGGTTTCTCTGAATCCCTTCATAAATGTTACTTTTCTCACACTCTAACAGCACGTCAAGTATTAAAAACCATTTGTCTCCATTCACTCCTATCAAACACGCTCACACATGCCCGCTGGAAGTCCAAGGACCTCGCACACAAAACCTCCTTTACCCCTTCCCTCCAACCTTTCCTAGGCCGACCCCTACCCCGCCTTCCTTCCACTACAGACTGATACACTCTTGAAGTCATTCTGTTTCGCTCCATTCTCTCTACATGTCCGAACCACCTCAACAACCCTTCCTCAACCCTCTGGATAACAGTTTTGGCAATCCCGCACCTCCTCCTAATTTCCAAAACTACGAATTCTCTGCATTATATTCACACCACACATTGCCCTCAGACATGACATCTCCACTGCCTCCAGCCTTCTCCTCGCTGCAACATTCATCACCCATGCTTCACACCCATATAAGAGCATTGGTAAAACTATACTCTCATACATTCCCCTCTTTGCCTCCAAGGACAAAGTTCTTTGTCTCCACAGACTCCTGAGTGCACCGCTCACCCTTTTCCCCTCATCTTTCATAGACCCATCCACTGACAAGTCCACTCCCAAATATCTGAATACATTCACCTCCTCCATACTCTCTCCCTCCAATCCGATATCCAATCTTTTATCACCTAATCTTTTTGTTATCCTCATAACCTTACTCTTTGCTGTATTCACTTTTAATTTTCTTCTTTTACATACCCTACCAAATTCATCCACCAACCTCTGCAACTTCACTTCAGAATCTCCCAAGAGCACAGTGTCATCAGCAAAGAGCAACTGTGATAACTCCCACTTTATGTGTGACTCTTTATCTTTTAACTCCACACCTCTTTACATGCCTCTCTACATTTGGTATGAAAAAAAAAACAAGAAAAAATAAAAAATCATCCTTAAGAAAATCATAAGTATTGTTCAGATGTATGTAATTAAAAGGTTTCGAAATGCCAGTTTCGTAAGTGCAAAACCTCATATCTGTGAAGTCGGGGCCCTACGTTACTGTACTACTATATTTATCATTTGGAAATTTGGAAGGGGATAAGTACCTTGCCATGTACTGAACAGTATACTGTAAATTTTAAAAAAATATTCATAGGGTTCCAACACATCTTTGTATCTGATTATATGAATACTTGTAACGCTGAGGTCAGTTGGTTTTTGCCTTGCTCAGGTACTGTGTTTTTATTCTGAATATTTACTTTTTTATGTTTTCTTGCCTAGATAACCCATTCCAGATATTTACATTTTTTGTACTTTCCTACACAGGCATCCTCATTCCAAATATTTATATGTTTTTGTTTTCTTGCACAGGTACTCTCATTCCAAATAACTTGGTATCACGGCTTTGCGAAGTAATGGAACAAGAAAGTACAGAATCATTTGAGGAAACCTTTACCGATGATGAAAGTAATGATAGCAAAGACAGTAAGGAATAGTGAATGTGGATAAATGTTATATGGAACTGCAGAAAAACAGAAGTGACTGCTTCAGGAGCAAGAAAAATAAGGGAGCATCAGTAGCAATTTTTTGGTTGGGATTTTATGATAGGTGTTATTGATATTGCAAAATTAAAAATTAAGTTTGTTAAATGATTTTAATTAGGCAGTTTATTGTAATTGCTGCAAACTTCTCCAAACTTACTAGTTTCTTGTCCTGAATTATATAGTGTTATCATACCATTGAAGTAATCATATCAGTGGTTTGTTTCATGCCACAAGTTCAACCAGATTTTCATGAAACAGAGATAAAGTAAGCAGGTGTATTGCAGTTTTTGTTGCATCAATAGCTAGGTTGTATTGCTTGATCAACCACAATATCTGTAATTAGTGTTTGATTTATATTGCTGTGAAAGTGATGTGGATGCTCAGGCAATATATATACTCCTGTATTCAATAAGTTAATTTAACTTCACATAGTTTGGCCCTGGATTTCTTGTCCATGGTTTCAGGTTGACTTGTGGTGAAGATTGAGGAAGTTAGCTTTGGTATAGTCAAGTGATATTTTCAGGTGAATTCCTCTCTTGAGGGGATTTGACGGCAATTAATGTGGACATACGTAGTGTACCTGCTGTGAAGCAAAGAACATAATAATAAAGGAGTGAGCAGATGCTCTAGTTATCAATATAGTGGAAAAATGTAGTTTTCATAGATTTTGGCACCCAATAATTTGCAATTGTGTATTAAGTGTGCACAAATTCATGTATCTTGCATTTCAAGATTAGTCTTGGATAATTGAATTATTATATTTTACCCCTTAGATTTATTTTGTCCTTTGGTCCAATATTTCACCATGGTAGTCCTGAACTAATTTAAGGAATAGCATTTGAGGGAAGTCATCTTTTCTTAAAATTCACTTATTTATTTTATAATATTCTGCATGTAATGTTCTCATATTAGTTACTGTTTAATGTGACTCATTTTGAAAAAAAGCATTTGATGTATATATATAATTTGCTTTTTATTCATCTAATGTATAAACATGGAGGTATTCTTTCATTTACACAGGTTAAATAAATGTGCTGTGGAAGGATGTAAATTTTATGCCCACAAGATTACCTTCACGATTTAGAATTCACACAGGATTTACGAAAGTTTAGCTTTTCAGTAATAGTTTATCAGTAATTTGAATATAGATCATGCAGTTACAATGATTTATAAGGTAAGCATTAGTAGTTTGCCCAGGTTAGGATGTTACAAGACATGGCCAGCAGGTACTCATATTCAGTTTACAGGGCATTTTTCCAAAGTATTGTACAATGTGATCTCGTATGACCTGAACATTGTTTTATGGCCACAATTCTGTAGCTTTGTGTGTGGCTGTTGTATTTGGTTGTTGATACTTGAAAATGATTGGCTTCAATGATTTCCTTTGTGAACACGGGTCTTTTTTAATTCAATCAGAGCTAAATGGCAGTCAATATTTTTAAACTATCACAAGTTTTCTCTGCTGCATGTAAGGCTTCAGAGTTTGGGACATAATATTTCTGGTTGCCAGTTTGGCAGCAGTGTAGATAGTACAAGTGGTTTCACAAAAGTTGTTGCCAGCAGGAGGGTAATTATATTAAATGTAAGTTTTATATGAAATGATTTATGCGAATGGTAGCCCAGCAAATGATAAAATCATGGTTTTGTATGTTTGTATAAGAGTTTTGTCAAATAATAGGAATAATCATCAGTGTTACGTGTAATGTAGTTGTCTTTCTTTCAAAATTAGTATGTTTAAAATACAATAGTACCATTTCCAGAAGAGATGTTGTTCATCTCATTCCTGTAACAGTTGGACCGAGAGACTGTTTCATTTACCCTCCTGTTGACAAAAATTGCATTTAGTGTTCTTCCATGTGAGTCATTGTGATTAGGTCAGTCATATGCCACTCATACCATACAGTAGTCACAATTCCTTCACCAGTGGGTATTCATTTATTGTGTAGTTCTAAATCATATACAGTATATTCCTTATTTCCAATTAAAAAGGGATTTTTGTCTTGAGTATAAATGTTTCATCTATCACAGTTGGCTCTTTTAAGGATGAACATTAATACCAAGAATGGCCAAATTAATGTCTGAAACAAATTGGCAAGTAACAGGACTTAAGGTTTTCTTTTCAGATCTCATTACTAGACATAATTTATATTCACCCGCTACCCCATTTTGCAGTTCATCATGCTGTACATTGTATACGAAATGCCCTCATCAGAAGTGACATCAGCAGCATTTGGCTCATGGGGACAAAGGAAAGTTCAGAAATTTACATTTGTTTTCTGAATTACTGTTTATTTTTTTTTTTATTTCTGATCTTAGTGAACATTTACTGTATTCTCCATCAGCCATTTGCCAACAAGACATAAGTACCAATCTTAGTACTGTACTTACATTGTACTGTACCAAACTGTTAAGTGAATATGTAGCAGTCAATTATACTTGGATATTTGTTTATTAATTGTATTTTTTTTTGCTCCTATAATATGAAGATTTATTAGGTAAATATTTTTTATTTTTAAATATTTTTATTTTAACTTCTGTGTGAAGTAAATTGAAAGTATATAAAAGGCATAACATAATGCTTTGCACAGTATGTCAAAATATAATTTATAATTTTTGATTGTCATTGGGCATTTAAGAAATACTGTAATTGCTAATCCTGGCTAATGCAGAAAAAAATAGGAAAAGCACGTAACATCATTTTGTATTCATATCATATTTCCAGATTGATAAATAATCAAATAGTTGGTAAAATTTTTTTATATAAAATGTTTTCTAAACGTATCATACATGCCTTTTCTTATATTTAAAATGGGAGTAATTTGCATAATATTGCCAAAGAAATGAATCAGCAAAAATGAAGATCTCTTGGCTAATTAATAGAAGGAAGTTTATAAAACATGGAGAAAGAACAAAAATATATAGTGGACTGTATTAGTTTGGAGCAGTGTGTAGCATGAGAATGCCACTATTAAATGATGCTTTATTGTCTGAAAGACAAATTGTAAACATGTATCAATAGTTTATCTCAAACCTAAAACATGGTAGGGCATTATTCACACACATACCAAAGAATTTTCATAACTGCATACCTTTGCAGTAATGGCCCAGAATATTCTTATATAATAACGTATCAAAATATTTTTATTTTTTTTGTATGTACATGCACAGTAAATCCTCACGTTTGCAGATTATAATTTTTTTTCTGTATCCAAAGTTCGACAAATAGAAAGTAAGGACAATTAATTATAGCTGTCCCTGATTTGATGCTCAATTTAGTGTGTACATGTTTTAATTTTATAATGCATATATAATTCTTACTGTAAGACATGTGCAACAGTTGCATATCTTTATTGCTGAAATGCTTTACCTGCTCTGCAGGCTGCTGCAGTTGAATACAGAGATATCTAAATATTGGAGACGGCAGAAACATGATCAGTCTCTCAGTCTTGAAGTAACAGTATTGAGACAGGCAGTCTCTTAACCTTAAGAAGGTTTTGGTTATATAGTCTCGATTAATATTGGTAGAGACTTCTGTGGAATTAGGTATGCACTGTATATAAAATCAAAACATGTATTCAGTAAATTGTGTATATTGATCATGACTAGAGCTAAGCACTTCTCAAGGCTGAGGGGTTGACCACCTCAAAACTACTGCCTTAAGGCTGAGAGACTAATCACCTCTTCTTTACCTCCACTGATTCCAATAATAATAATAATATCTAGGGATTGGCAAAGAGCATGAACAGTTCTTTTGTATAAAGAGAAAAGGAATGAAAAAAGAGTAAGAATTATATGGGAGGAAGCCAGTTGGATAAACTGGGTAAAGTGTGTGGTAGTTATTATTGAAAGGATTATGGATAAGACATATAATAAGATCGCAGAGGAACAAAAAGACTTAATGAAAGGTAGGGTTATGTATAGACCCTGTGTTTACACTAAAGCACATATATATATGCTTGTACATGCACGTGTAGTATAACCTAAGTGTAAGTAGTAAAAGTAGCAAGACGTACCCGAAATCTTGCATGTTTGTGAGACAGAAAAAAGACATCAGAAATCCTATCATGTAAGACAATTACAGGTTTCCATTTTACACTCACATGGCAGGATGGTAGTATCTCCCTGGGTGGTTGCTGTCTACCAACCTACTACCTACCCTCCAAGAGAACTATAAAAAAAAAATTGTCATAAAATTTTTTTTTTCTTACCTCACATTATAAATGATAATTCTCTGGGAAAGACCTGAACTCGAGTGAGGTTCAGACAGTTAAGAGAAAGTACATAAGGAAAAAAAAGGGTTACATTAAAACTACATTATTTGTTATCTTAAAGTTGAAGATGCTTAACATGTGAGTGGAGAGGGTGGATATGATCCTGTTCCTCATTCTTTTCTGTCACACATGCCCTCATCTTTGCCTCATTGTCTCAAACTGACCAATTTGTTGATTCTCAAACACTTAACACACGGGCTGTCTCTGTGATGCATGCACCACCCTCCAGCATCTCAGTTTTCTCATTTTGTAATAGGCATAGTTTCATGTTTCATCTTCTGTGTCACTATCACCTGCACTTCGTTTGGAGGTCATGAAAAATATTAAGATGAGGTGTTGAAAAAAAGGAAAAAGAACGAGCAATGTGCACTGAGCTAAAATCGCACTGTACACATCCAGATGCACTGATCCACCTGGGAGGCTGGTTTGTTTACCTCCCATCACCCTTCCTGCGGGGCTAAGACAATGAAGTTACCTAATGCACACTGGGGAGATCTCAGGCCTGTCTTTTAAGGCACTTAATGAAAAGCACCATTAATGGAAATGAATTATTCTCTGGCATTCCTCAACAAAAATGTGCACGACCATTGGAAATGAAAACCTAAATTTAGTTTGCATAGTATAGAGAATGCTAGTTATTACAGAGCGACTTAAGGTTTTTCTGCTGTAGGTTAAGAGTGGAGCATATTAGTACATGATTAATAAGAAAAACTCAGTAAGTGCCACCCAAATTATGATCTCGGGTACAGTGTATACAACAATAGGTGATATTTAGCCATTTCATTGGCTGTGCCATAGTACTACAGGTTTGAGGTCACTGTTGGCCCTGTAGTACTATACATTGAGCTCGGCTCACTCGAATAAGCTGGGAGCGGTAAATTTGGGCCTAGATATGAAAGAATGGGTCTGTTCAGTAAGTGTGTACAATATAAAAAAATTACTGCAGCACACAGTGCATAATGAGATGAAAAAACTGCAACACTGTTTTTGGTTTAACCCTTTCAGTGTCGAGACACCAGATCCTTATTCTGTGTCGAAAAATTAAAAAAAAAAAAATTTTCTTATGAAATGATAGAGAATCTTTTCCTGATGGTAATGACACCAAAAGTACAAAATTTGATGGAAAACTTACAAAATTAAGCTCTCGCTAAATTAGCGATCTCGGCAATATTTACGCATCGGCGATTTCGCCCACTTTGTGCCCTATTTTAGGCCAATTCCATTGATCCAGATGACAAAAATCATAGCTATTTTGCTAGAACCCCATTTGTTCTAGCTACTGAGTACAAGAAACCGCCCCTTTACCGATTTCAGCTACCCAATAAAGTGGTCAGAAATAGCAATTTAGCCAATTTTACACAAATTTCAAAAGATACCAATTTCAAAATAGGGTTCAGAATAAACAAGGCAGACATTCCTGGCACTAAAATAACATTTTCTCTGTTCATTAGTCTCATTTCCAGGCTGTCTATTTTGAATTTTTATTCTCGCAAAAAATTGAAGATTTACTGTTATGCAGACTACTGCATTATTATAATAATTGTATAACTAATGTCAACCCATTCATGACTGGCCAGTTGGACACACATTGGACAGTGACGTCATTTCTTTACTTTTGAACATCGGCAAAAAAAAGAACATTTCTGCTACTTTCAGCTCAATTTCAAGGTACTACTCATCGTGAAATCAATCAAAATCGTCTCCATTTCTGTAATGTATCATCCATTCTGTGAAATGAGATCAAGAAAACAAGAGTACAACCATAAATACCAAATGAAAATACACCGCAAAGTCGCTGTTTTCAACCAAAAAGTCGGAGTTTTTTTTTCTCATGCACTGTGTGCTACAGGATTTTTTTTTTATAATGCACACACTGACCACGCAGACCCATTCTTTCATATGTAGGCCTTCAAGCTTTCTTCCACCAGATTTGAAGGAGCTAGAATTTTGGCGTAGTACTACAGGACCGACACTGGCTCTCAAGCCGTAGTACTACGGAACCAACACTGAAAGGGTTAAAACAGCAAAAAAAAACTGCGAATGCTTTTGGTTTAAAACAGTGACTTTGCGGTGTATTTTCATATGATTTTTATGGTTGTATTCCCAGTTTCTTGGTCTCAGTTGATAGAATGGAAGACATATTACAGAAGTAAAGATGATTTTGAGTGGTTTCAGGATTGAAAATAGCTTGAAATTGAGCTCAAAGTAGCAGAAATGTTTGATTTTTGCCAATATTTAAGAGTAAACAGATCACATCCCTCATCCAATACATGTCAACTGTTAGGTCTAATATGTGTTCATGAGTGAGCTAATATTTTTTATAACAGAAACCATTTTTTTGTGTGAAAAAAAATTCAAAATGGATTTCAAATGTAAAGCCTGGGAATGTAACTAATGAACAGAGGAAATGTTATTTTAGAGCCATGAATGCTTGCATTGTTTATTTTGGACCCTATGTTGAAACGAATACGTATTTTAAAATTTGTGTGAAATTGGCCAAATTACCAATTTCTGATTACTTACTGGTAGTTGAATTAGTTGATTAGGTGGTTTCTTGTGCTCATTTGATAAAATGGAAGACATACTAGTGAAATAACTACTGGAACAATGTAATTGGCCTAAAATAAGACTCAAAGTGGGCAGAATTGCCAGTGCTTAACCCGTAAACGGTCCAAACGTACATATACATTCTTATCGCTAGTGCCCCAAACGTATATTTATGTTTTATTTTTCCTGCCTCCAAATTTGGCACAGTTGGCCTGAGATGCCTGGTCAGCATAGAATGGGTCAACACTTGGTGTGTGCTGTATTAAAAAAATATGGGACCACTTAGTACCTTGTAGGAGCACCAGTTAAATTGAGTGCCAGCTAGAGCAAACAGCATGGCAAACACCAAGAATTCACTGATGTCATGTCATATTAACACTCCCCTTTTAACCCTTTCAGGGTCCAAGGCCAAAATCTGAAGTCACGCACCAGTGTCCAAGAATTTTCAAAAAAAAAATTTGTTATTTTTTCTTATGAAATCGTAGAGAATCTTTTTGTGAAGGTAATAAAACAAAAAGTACGAAATTTGGTGGAAAATTGACGAAATTATGCTCTCGCGAATTTTGATGTGTCAGCGATATTTACGAGTCGGCGATTTTGCCGACTTTGACTCCCATTTTAGGCCAATTACATTATT